TTACTGTGTGGCAAAGTTGACATGCTTTAAAAATGATGCACAATCTCAGCCAGTTGTCACAGGAGTTTTTGAAATGTTTACGTCCTCCGATATGTGCGTCACAAATCAGTTTCGTGGAATATGAGTCTTATTGGTGGGATTCAAAACTTGCCTTTTGTAACCGCAAGCATCTTGTGTTATTGTTGGCAGCACAGAGATATGAATGTTTGTTGCCATTAACATTACTGTCAGCCTGAGCTGAAGCCAGACTTGAGATTCAGTAAAGATGTTTTAATGCCGTAAAACTGAAATGGAAACCCTGCTTTGCTGTAGACAGAATTAAGTGGTGCAGCGGAAGAGCAGGCTCACTCGGTAAATTCCTTTCTGATCCCATAGCATCAGTCGTTTACCACTCATGTGAAAACGGTTCAAGCCCCGTTTCCAAGGTTCCTGTCTTATGGATGATGATTTGTTTATGTCCCGTGGTTGGATACTTCACTGAAATGGGAAATAAATTCAATTTACTCCCTTAATGATGACAGATAAATAATGCTGGTAATCGCACAGGATGTAAATGGTGGTTTTGCTGTCTGACTATATCTGCTAATAATAGTTTAGTTCCCTTTACAGTTGTATTTGATACTGTGATCAATTGTTAACAGCATTTCCTACAAACCTGTAACAGGACCATCTCTTTAGTGGTTTGGGCCATGTCAAAGGCTACCCAAAGCAGGGTCAGACTTCACGCTTCATTTAAAAGAGTGGGGGGGGTAAATCTGTTTTGATTTACTCTGGCTGTCAGGCTTCATATCATGCTTCAGGTATGAGACAATAGCAGAGTTCAAAGAAAGGAGGGTCGTTTTCCCTCCTTTCAGTGCGTGGAACATCCTCTGCTCATAATCAGCTCAGTGCATTATGGCTGAAACTTAAGGCGTGCATGACCTCAGCGCGTTGGCCTCTCAGTAAGCTCGAGACATTCTGCAGTCTCTCATTGTAAGGGCTACCCCCCTCCCTTAGCTGGTGGCAGCACGCCCCACATCATTACAGTTTGGGGAAATGGCAGGTTGTGCTGCTGCAGCGACATTCTGCAGATAAGATAAGAGCAGGAAACTGGGGCGCACACACACGGTCTGCAAGTTTTTATGGTGCAACAACCAATATTGGAGTGGCTCTGCTCACTAGACTAGTGCCCCAGCATTTCGCGCTTGTAATAATTAACCAATAACGAACCCGTCAAGTGTCTCAAGGTCAGACTCGTAAAACCAACTGGCAAGTGTTGTCATTAAGAATCACTTCCACAGTTTTATAAAGTGTTATTGCTTCCAAGAAAAAGAAACTGTGGGAAACGTCAGTGCAAAAGTTTTGTTGGCACTGTCAAATATAACACCCACCCACCCCCTAAAAAATAAAGGTTTCTGCGTATACTTTTATCTTCTATGGTTAAAATCACATGCCACAGTGTGCATTGCCAAAAGTCAACAAACCTGACTTCTCATAGCAAAGTGTTACCAGTCCAAACATCAAAAATGCTTGTTGAAACCAACCTTGCATCTCTTGCATGGCAAAGAGTTGGAGGAATGCAACATCAAGGGTCCCACAGGGACACAAGACATTGAGTTAATGAATTAATTGTTTTTAAAATATCAAACTTATGTTTTAAAATCCTAAGACATAGGAAGTTGGATTTTTCTAAACATTGTTAGCAGAACACATATTTTATATTGTGGTCTGGATGCTAGTTGGCAATGACGCAGGGAAAGGCGAATTCAAAGAAAATTGGCTATGCCACAAATATTCTGTGGCATGGCTGCAAAATGTGAAACATTAAAACAAATGTGAAACACGACGTTTTGTTTGAGGCTCTGCAGGCTGGGAGTGAAGACAAGGCGGCTCACAGCAAGTTTATATTAGCATCATTAGCTAAGAAGGAGGTGTTTGTCTTAACGTTGAGTGAGAGCCTCAACCAAAAAAACCAAACCACTGATGTTCCTAACCCTAAGTAATTGATCTTTTCATTTTCATTTTTAATCCTTAATCTTTGCTTTGTTAGATTTTCAGACCTTTACCCCCCAGAGGCAACATGTTTTTTTGTTTACTTTGAGAATATTGTAGGTCCCCAACTGATTGAAAATTAGTCTACTTAATTAAAGGTTTTTCCTCCCATGGCAGAAGAAGCTCAGGCAGGCCGTATAAATACATAGCTATTTGGCTTTCAGGTCTCACATATGGAACTGCAGGCTGCATCCTTTGAAAGATGCATTTGCTGTGAAATGCTTCATTTGTTCTTTCCTGAATGGTACATTAGAGAAGTACATGATTTTAAGTCTCAGTTATTTATTTATTTATTTTTTTAAATCGGGTATGGAGGGATCAGATGGATTCAGGTGGTGTGCTAATCAAGAAACTGTCTGTAGGCCCACCCATAGGTGTGGTTACATGCAACAAAAAATTCACACATCTAAGTCTGACTCATAGCATTTACAAAGAACCACTTATAGCTCTTTAAAGCCACATTCTTGCTTGGATCTAGACTTGGTGAGCCTACAAAGTAATTTAAATGCATTATACACCTATCTAGGTGTGAGTCTAATAAAAACCTTATGTTAAGTGTCCTTTTTTGCCCCTGGAGGAATAAGCTGCGTAAACGTTAATATGTGAATGATTAGTTTGAAAATGTGTGCAGGTTGGGATTACATAAACAGTCGTGAATTGAAACCCCCCCCCCCCAAAAAAAAAATAAAAAATTAACCCTGCTTAGTTAAGGGTAGTTAATATTTGCATGAGGATGTAAAGATCTTCTGTATTTGTGACTAATCGTTGATGCTGAACACAAGAGTTCCAAATCTTGTGGGCTCAAGTTCATTACAGCAGCTTTTGGTTGCTGCTGATCAAATGCAGTCATAATATAACGGTTCCTGTTGCTGTCTGCAGTGAATTTGTAACATCTTTTGCCTTACTGTTTGACTCGCCTTGGGGATAATTGAGTTTATGTATCATGAGGATGAGGTCTTGTGAATTGGTGAGGGGTTTGGGTGGGGTGTTATCCTGGCTGTGAGTTTGAGCACCCAGATGGGGCCAGAGGAGGAAGGGAGGGTGGCTACACGTGCCTGCCAGCTCTTATCAGTTTCCTGCTATCACAGTGTGGCAGCTCTGAGATCAGGGGTTCTCATGGTATCCCGTTCCTAAGCACATCAGCATATTACAGTG